AAAAAAGCTTATAGAATAAGGATATAAAGAAAGAAAATATTTTTGTACTGCTGTACAATGTGTTTGTGTTTTAAGCTAAATGTTATTACAAGAGTCAAAAAGTTAAAGTTAAAAAGTTTAAAGTAAAAGACTAAGGTTAATTTACTATTGAAGAAAGACAAATTTTAAAAGTAAATTTAGTACAGCCTAGGTATACCATAGCGTATACTACTGGCCTTCATATGCACACCACTCACTCACTGACTCAGCCAGAACAACTTCCAGTCCTGCAAGCTCCTTTCATGGTAAGTGCCCTATACAGGTGTATCATTTTTTATCTTTCACACCATATTTTTACTATACCTTTTCTATGTTTAGATATAAAAATACTTACCATTATGTTACAACTGCCTATAGTATTCAGTACAGTAACATGCTGTACAGGTTTATAGTCGAGGAGCAATAGGCTACACCATATAGGTTTGTGTAAGTACACTCTATGTTCACACAATGCTGAAATGGCCTAACGACACATTTCTCAGAATGTATGCCCATTGTTAAGCAATGTGTAACGTAGTTATGATCCCCAACAATGCCAAATAAAGGAGAAGTAGGGCGCAGACATGCTTACCAAGAACCCTACCAGCTTCCTCACTTGTCTCTTTTTTCTATCCCATGATGAAAGCACCACAGATTGAGATACAAGCTCAGTAAGGCAAAGCTACACGCTTGGTAGTCACACCTCTCTAACAACCAACGAAGAAATCCAAACTAATCCAGCTAATTTACTCCCTGAAAATACATAATAGGGAGAGAGAAGATAATCAAGACTATATTCATCTAAAAAATCCTTTTGTTTGGGCCTTTCCCGTTTCCACATAATCTGTTAGTGAAAACTGTACCAAAATGATTTATTTTAAAAAGCATCAACTAAACAGTAAAAGCTCTATATTTACCCTCCATAAAGAGAGTAAGGGATGTTTACCTTAAAAGTAAAATGGGTTAAGAGATCTTGGTAGTAACTGTTCTCTTTTCGGTAAGTTTTTGAAGGATGTGTGGTATAAGGATTATAAAGGTGATCGTAAATGACAAGAAGAGACTGCATGGTATTTTCACTTAAGGAACAAGATAATAAAACAATAATCCCTCCAACAATTAAAAAGTAAAATATAAAACTGCCAAAACAAAACTTAAAAATATAAAATTCTGGTCTTGTGCAAAGAGAACATCACCCAAATTTTCTACTGAGTAGCCAGGAGAAATTTGATGAAAATGAAATATGATTATTTACTACATAAGTAATACTTTTTCTGGGGGAAAAATGTATACTTACTTAGTAAGCTGCCCTTTATTCTTGTTGTTATCAACTCCATTGTAAGTCACAGCTGCCAGTTTTCTGCTTCTGTAGTTCTCGTAGTGTACATTATTAGTAACATCTTTCAAGTCCTGCATATGTGTTCTGTTATAAATCAATAGCAAAAGTTTGTTTCTATTAAAAAGCCTTTGATGTAAATTGAAAATTTTACCAAAACAAAAATTTGAGATTTAAAATGAGCAAAAGACTATTCTTAAGGAAAGTGGCATTCATCTGTCTTCATTTACACTCAAAGCATACCAAAATGAGCTAACTGGACACCAAATTTAGGTTCCAAATTAGATTTTAAGAGCCCGAAATCCCCCAAAGCAGTTACTGAAGGATGATCTTTCTACAAGAGTTTCATCTTTACAGTATATATTTAGTTTTGCCAGAAAAGGGAGAGTAGATTAGCTACCACTGAAGCTCATAAAAACTAAAAGAAATTGCTTTTCCTTTAGCAATATTACTAAGGTAACATATGAGTTTTTACTAAGTTAGCACATAGGGAAACTTCAGGTCACATATCAAGTTGTTTTTAAACTGGGGAATTTTAATTTAGAGTAAATTTCGGATTTTTCAAACTGGCCAGTGAATGTGGTATTTTGGTTAAACAAATTTTTGCTCGCATTTCTATCATATACAAATCAATACACGTGAGATGATTTCATCATTCTTTAATGAGATGCAGAAGACACCTTGAGCTGCTCTATGAATATCCTTTACCAACGCAGTGTTCTTGGGTATACATCATATGGCAGTACTCTGTATTGTCCGATACTCCCTTTTCTCATCATTCATTCTACCTTGAACTTCCTGCATCTGCCATCTTCCATCTTTACCACCTTACCAAAACTCCCTTCCAGGAGACAAACATAAAGTTATACTGTTGTACTGTTTTTATCCTTCCTTATATCCAGAAAATCTTTACTATTATTTCACAATCCAGCTTCTTGAAATATTCTCTCTCCCTTTGTGAGTAAAATGTGACTTTTAATTACTCTGATTCATCTCCTACTATCTGACATTTCCTTGCAGTTGTCTGATAGTTTATCCTCCCTAGTCCTAAGTCTGGATTTTCCAAAAGTCTCACCTCCCTTTATACTCTGTCCCTTGATAAATTCTTCCTCTCTTGTGGCCATAACAGTTACATGGAAAACTCTACTACTCTCCACTTTAGGCAAGTCAGGCTGCTCCCTACTCCAAGCACACCTGGTGGTTGAGATCAAACAGCTCATGCTAATCTGTCACTCTTTCTCCAAAGAGTTCTGCTATCACGGAAGTCTTCTTCCTATCCTTGAAGTTCAAGGCACTCCAATCATGACAATTTTCTTTTTTGTTGTCATTCATTTTTTTGGTATAGTATATATCACAGGCGACACCATACTTCTTCAACTATACTGCAAGCTCCCCTTTGCAAGGAACATGTCATTACCTACCTTTTGTACCCCCACTATAGATAGCAGATAATAGAAACATTTAAAAAAATGACAACTAAAGACTAAAGCTCAGATATGATAAACACTGTCGACTTTCTGGAATAAATTATTATTACCAGTTTCTCTGAGTAGAAAACAATAAAAACAAATACCTGTGCCAATAAAAACAATTTTTTGTAATTTTAATTATATATCACACATCATCACTGCATCATTGAAAAATAATTAAATGACTTTAGGAAGGGTGTTTAGAAGATGGACTACAAGATGTATAGAACAAAAATAAGGTGAACTTATTAACTGTTAATCTATTTTTGCTAGTGTCATCTAATATTTTAGATAACGAATTATTTTCCCTTTCACTAAAATAATCTTCTGACTACCTAATTCTGCTTTTTTTCAGGATACAGAAATCTT